CCATAAAAATAACTATGACAGGGCCCGCCAGGGCTCGTTTTTGGCCCGTTTTCAAGTCTGCATAATACACTCAATAGATATTTTAAATAATCAAAGTTCTTATAATTCAGGCTCTTGGTAATCTTGGACCTCTTTTAATATTATTCACCCATGCATAACATTTATTGAACCAGGTGGATTCTCATCACGAACGTCTTCCAAAATTAATCCGGATTTTGCTCGGGTTTATAAACATATACGCGTCCATTTTGAATACAAATTTAGAAAAGAATTCGTTAAAACTATACTAGTACGGAAGTCTTACAAAACACGAAATCTTCAAAGAATTTTTACAGAAAAGTTTGGAATCCCCTACAATGATGCGCAGAATCACTATTTTTATTCAAGAATGGCAGGTGTTTTGATCCTAACTCAAGTCGGTTTACCTTTCCCTTTGACTTTAGAATCCTCCAGAAGTTTACGGTGACAATGAAGATAATGATGTAGAAGCAGAAGAATATACTGATATTCGATTCATCAGAGAAAGAGATCATACTCATTCACCATCCGCCAAAATGAACTGCGAACGAGAAAAAGGGGACTGGGGAAGAAGCAAAAGTAGGCGTGGAGTGTGACGAGAGAAGGAGGAGAGCGGAGCTCGCGAGGAGACAAGTATTAGTATTATTTGAGTCGACTACTGGTCATGCAGTAGTGAGAATAAAGAAGCTGAAAATGGAAACGAATGAGAAGAGTGTCAGGTGCACAACAACTTGTATTTCTCCGGAGAAGAAGAAGAATATTGGTGGTTCTAATCGCTTTCGAACTGCTACGAATACTTTACGACAACACATGCGTCGTGCGGAATTGACATCTTTTGGCATTGAATGAAATTAATCTGTGGTGAATCTCAACCGCCAGGTTTTCATTTCAACCATTCTTTGCAGAATAATTACACAAGAGTACAATAGGGAAAATGTGATGTCAGGATAACAATGTTACAAACAGGTCATTGAGCCAGCAAATAGCGGAGCTCGCCGAATAACCGTATTGTGGAACTCTCAGATACTTACCTGCGGTTGATCAATGATTTTTAAATGGTAAATGTCTTCATTAACTACAGAATTTATACATCTTCTGTGGATCGTGTTAATGCCACCAAATGAAGATTCTTATTGTATTATGCTTGTCTGAGAAAAAAAGGTTAGAGAGTATTTTTTGCAGTCTAAATACGGTAGCGATATCGAAGCGGAGAGCCTAAATAGCACACATAAGGAGGAGACGCAGACACTTTTTCCTGCGTCTCAACCTTTTTTTTTCTCAGACAAGCATAATAAGATACCGTAAAACCTGTAATAGAAGGGGTTACCTCCATTCCTATGCAAGGTATCAAAAATGTGTCAACTAAAAAAATGTTTGTGATATTATGATAAATCATTGATCAGTTGACAACTTTTTAATATCTCTGATGGGAATAGAGATAATTGAACTCAAAGTTAAAAGCCAAGAAGCCCTTGAACTTCATTTAAGTTCCATCAACTCTCTGCGGACCTAATACGTTTTTTTTTCAGGTGCTTGTGTTTCCTTTTATAGTTTTCTTTTAATAATTCTTTTCATAAAACATTCAAATTCATCAAACTCTTCTAGAGGAGGAGATCTTCTTTCACTTCAGCGGCTTGATGTACGGTCCTTCATTGCTTCGTCGTCACCTATAACGCACCTCCCGCAAACACTCTCACGAGATGTTGCGGACATTCAAATCTGAAAATTTTTAGAGTTCAGTTTTCATTAAATTAAATCTTATTCAGCGAATCAAATGCCTCACTATTCTTTGTTTGAAAAATTAAAAATGAAATCATTTAATTGTCTGAACGATTTTCAGTGACATGACTCCACAGGAAAAAACTCCAGAAGTCGATATCGATGATGGGCATGAAGATGGAGAGATATCTGACGATGAAGATGATGCACCAGTTGAACTTCCTTCTAATCAACCTAACAGTGAGTTTCGTTCTCGAATTCTTGAAATTTTTATTGTTTCTGTGTTCAGCGCTGGTCAACTACCCCTCATCGGACGACGAAAAATCTCCAGAAGATGTTATCAGCGCGTACAAGCAGAAAATCGCTGAGCAAAAGAAAGAAGAAGCAGTTCCTGAAGTCTCTGTAGATCCGAAATTGTGCAAAGTCTGCCTGAAAAATGAGCACAAATACAGATGTCCAAGATGTGAGCTACGCACATGCTCACTCGATTGTTCAAAGAAACACAAAGCGGATAACGATGTAAGATGTTTTATTTATGAACAATTATTCAATTTCTCGTTTTAGTGTGATGGTGTGAGGCAAGCATTCACCAAAGTGGATAAGCTGTCTCAATATGACTCGCAAAAGTCAATTGACGATCAAAAGTTCATGCATTTGGTGACAGAAAAGGCTGGGTTAGGAGCCGATCAAACCGGAAACGTTGGTAATGAAGTGAACCATTTGGATGGTGAAGAAAAACCCGTTGATTCAAATGCACTACGCTCCTCTGTAAGAAAATCTGAAATAAACACTTAACCGCGTAAGAAACACGTTCAGACCAAAACTCCAATCGAACGTTACCTATTAAATGCTGCTAGATTCCGCCACATCTGGCTGGGATTCACCGATGAACAAGGAAACGAAAGCAGACACGAACAACATTCAGATACAGTGTTCTGGAGTATTAAACTCTCATTCAGGAAAGAAACAAACGGAGGAAATGTTGAAGTGTTCGAAAAAACTGTCAATAATATTCCGGAGACAATCAGGATTTCTACAGTCTTGAAGCAGTTTTTCCATCCACGACAATACGGATGCATTGTTTCTGAAAGTGATCTCGATCTAAATAAATTGAAACCTTTCATTGAAACCGGCATAGATGGAGTTAATGTCTACATGGAAGTACATGGTAGTCAAGATCGGTTCTATGGAGTTCTTCCGGATAGAACGATTCTCGATATGACACGAAACCGAGTTGTTGCGGATTATCCCAAATTTGTCATCACTCTGAATAACGAATTCACAGAGAGCATGCAGTTATTATCACCTGAAGAACTAGAACGCATTCAAGCACAATATGGAGGTATTGGTAACGAACGATTCGGTGGTGGTGGTGGAGGTGGTAATGGACGTGGACGCGGAGGTCGAGGATTCCACCGTGGTGGAGGTGGAAGAGGCGGTGGTGGACAGAATCATCACAACAATTTCCGGGTTAGTTATGGGAAAAGATATGACAGTGATCAAACTATTTTTTTATAGAAAAGACCATCCAATGGTGGCGGCTACGATGGCGGCTTCAAGCGCGGCCGAGGAGGAAATTTCAACAACGGCGGTAATCGTCGTGGTGGATATCACAATAGAAACAATCACCAAAATGATTCATTCGATCCATTCGAGCCATTCTCTGGTCCAAACCATCTTCCGATTGATTAAACCAATTAAGAACCAATTTACTGTTTAAACCACTTTTGTTGCAAACTTTGTTGATTTTGAATTCATTTTTATCCATTTTTTCTGTATACCCTTGTTAAACCCTGTTGATTTTACCTTTCCAAATAAGAACAACTTTTAACCAGAATCATCTCAATATGCTTTGCAAAGAAATCATTAACAGCGTTATTAGCGCATTGTTATTATAACTTCACTCTCGAAACTTGAAAAATATTTTATAAAAGAACTTCAGAAGGAATGAACTCTCAAAAACCGTCAACATCGAATTATCGCCCTGAAGAAGACGAAGAAGAAGAGTACGGGAACATTCTGGAACAAGAGGGTGAAGATTTTCCGGATGTTGAGGAATATGATCAAGATGAGGGAATGGATGATGATGACGATGGAACTATCGCCGGTGTCAACATCACACCTCACTTGACTAACTTGGAGCGAGAAGTGAATGTAGAAGAAGAAGAAGTTGAACCAGGGCCAGCTCTAGAAGACGAAGATTTAGTGAACGCCATCAATATGTTTATGAGGAATGAATATGATTATGATCAGTTTATGAGAGTCACTGGAGGACAGACACTGAAAGAAGAAATGGGAACTAAACGAAAACGCCCTTCTGACAGTGTCGAAGATGACGATGCTGACGAGGTTGATCTGACAGAAGATGATGATGAGGATGGAGAGCTCATGGCTGATGTAGAAGATGCAGCTGAGCATAATGGCGAAGGAACATCTGCAATCACTTTAGACGATCGATACGATGCGCTTCCAGAAGAAGCAAGATATATCATGACACAGGTTAAAGTGTCACTTACAATTTCTGTAGTAAACTTAATCATTTTCAGATTATGTCAGGACAGACGCAAAAAGGAGTGGAAGTTGTTGCTCCGCCAGCAAATCTGGCAGATGCCCTGAGAAGTCAGTTTGATGAATCAGGTGCGACACCGTTAAAACAAGTGAAAATGGAAGTTCATGATGGAGGAGCTAGCTCATCTTCGGCTCCTGCACCTCCCACAGAAATACATCGTGATCGTGGAAAATCAAAACGATTGGATGGGTTGTTAGGATTAGCTAACGTGTATACAGCTCAAGGAAATATCGAGGGTGCTATGGAGCTACTCCGGGAAGTGATTCGCACAGATCACAAACATGCTATTGCCTATCAAACGATTGCAACAGTATACGAACAAGAAGGAGATCGAGAAAAAGCTCTTCAATTCGGTCTTCTAGCTTCTCATTTGAATCCGAAAACGCCAGCTGATGATTGGGTTCACTGGGGAGATGAGGCGAGCAAATTGGGTAGAGTTGACGAAGCCGCTGTGTGCTACGATAGAGCAATTCATCTGAATAACGAAAATTGGAAATTTTACGAGAAGAGAATCGAAATGCTTGATCGACTCAATTTGAGACCATTAGCTATGCGGACACGCCTTCAAGCCGCTCAAAACATCAATAATGATATTCTGCAAGTAGATTTCCAATGGTTCCGGGAACTGATTCGGAAAGTTGCTCAGTACTACATCACGCTGAACGACGAGGAACGATCCATTCAGTCGCTAGAAGCTTTCGTTCTTCGAAGCAGAGAATTCGGAGAAAATGCCGAGGCACAGCACGAGACTTTAGTTGGAATGTATATAACTCGTTATAAATTCGAACAGGCCGGAAAGTCTATTCTCGCATTATGCAAAGGCATCAAGGCAGTGTATATGATCTCAAGAGAACCTGCGTGTCTGGTAAGACGAATTCCGAGATTCAATTGATTATTCTCTCTTTTTCAGATAACCTATACCAATGGAACGTATGAATGTCTCCCATTTCCACCTATAGGAAGTATAGACTATGAGATCGATGAGGCTCTATTCCCAGTCAGTATGCATTGCCATCTTGTTTACTGTCTCTTCAGTATAAATGAAATTGAGCAGTCCTCTGAGCTCGAAAGAAAACTTCTGAAAAGAACATACAATATCGAAGTGGATGAGCCGTCCTTGCTGGAACTACCTAGGCTTTACAAGGCGAAAGGAAATCCGAAGTTCGCAATGGTATGTAATTATCAAAGATGAACATGATTTTAGTCAAGATTTTTTTAGAAGTTCATGGAGGAGCTAACAAAAAATCCAAGTTATGATTACGAGGAGTCTGGTGCTTATTGGTATCTGAAAGGAACTCTAGAAATGGCTCAAAAACGAGAGGATGCTGCAATGGAAGCGTTTAACAAAACGTTGATATTGCAACCAAATCATGTTGATAACCGAATCAATCTTTCGACATTACAACAAAAAGCAGGCCTTTTCGATAAAGCATTAGAAACTTTAGAAGATTACGATCTAGAAAATTGCTCATCGTTACCAGATGAACGTCTGTTGGCTCGCCGAGCCGATGTTCTCTTTGAGTCAGGAGATTCTGATCAGTTTGTCCGGACAACACGAATGATGTTGGCTCCACACTTTTATCAAGTATATGCTCCAGAGCTGATGAAAAAAAGGCGTGTTCCGAAAGCACAATCGAACAGTAAGTAACTTATGACATACTCTATGACGGTTGAATTCTTTCAGCTCCAGCTTTGAGTAACGCTTTGAGAACGTGTGCATTAAATGTGATCAAGCACACAAACTGGGAAAGATTGGTCAAAAGACTTGGCGCAACAGTCGAAGCAAATGGAGTTTCACACAATTCTCTTTCAGGAACAGATGTAACGAAAATCACTGAAAACATCTGAAAACCAATTAATGAATTTCAGTTGCATGACTATTGCCTCAAACTGGTCGAATGTCTGAATAAAATGGAGAAACATCAAGACGCACTCATCGTTTGTTGCTATGCTTTCCTTCACCCGATGCTTTTCAAAATTGAAAAGTGAGAAACTTAAAATGGGTACTCATCTTTGTATTTCTTAATTTCAGAACTTCTACATTCCAAAACCTCATCTACTACTGTTCTGTCAAAGCTCGTTGCTGGAGTCTCGCATTTGAATTCATCAGATTTTACTACAGTTTCACTTCGGTAAAATAGACAAATTCACTGTTTTCATACATCGCAAAACGGTTTCAGGCGAATGCTGCCGAAAAAGAGAATACGCCTCACACTGATATGCTTCAAAAACGATTGTTCAATGCAATGAATTATGTGTTTGTGAATTCTCAGAATGTGTGCTATCACAGATTCATTATGAGAGCACTTTTCAAGAACAAAGATAATCATGCTCTTCAAGCAATATCCGGTAACAATTCACTTATCACTGGAACGTATCGCCATGCGATGGGAGAATATCTCCGTGTATGGGTGAACAACAAAAAGAATCCACTGATCTGCCTTCTACTTTCTCTCACTTTCACCCATATGTCCTGTAAGAAAGATCTCTCGAGCCGTCATCTCATCGGAATACGTGGAATCGCATTCATGAAGAAATACTCAAAAGTACGAACTTGTCAGCAAGAAGTGTATTACAACATTGCCAGAATGTTCCATCAAATGTCCATTCTTCCTCTTGCTAAACATTTCTATGACAAAGTTCTCGAAGCCAGCCCACCGAATATTTTTGTCTTCGATGACGACGGCAATGAAGTATTAGTTCCAGCAGTAAAGTGAGTTTAACGAGACTACGACTTTGAATCCTTTCATAAACTTGAAACTGATTCCAAAATATTTTTTCAGGTATGATTTGAGAAAAATGGCTGCTCACAATTTGGCTCTGATCTATCGAACTTCTGGAAATCACTACGCGGCAAGAGAGCTTTATGAAAAATATCTCGTTGTTTGACTTTGTTGTTATTCTGAGCTTTCTTTAGTATTACCCATTTTTCACTTGTTTTGTACCCACCTGAAATCCAAAAGAAATGTTTTGTTTTTCTAGTCTTGTGGTTACAATGGTTCCGAGCCGTTTCCCTATTTCTATTTTTCCTATAGATTCCGATTTCTTACTGTGGATTTGTTCAGAATGTTCATCTTGTCATTACTTCGGGATACAGTGGCTATCAAACCACATCAGCTCAGTTCTGATCAGCAAATGGTAATCAAAAAAAGACTCAATGAGCGCCTCGCCAATAAAGTTGTCCCTGATCTCGGTCTTTGTATCTGTGTTTACGATATAAGTGAGATCGGAGATTCATATATTTTGCCAGGAGAAGGAGACTGCAGAGTTAGAGTAACGGTAACCACATTCATTTGTTTTCTTGAGTAACTGTATTCGATTACAGTTTCGAATGATTGTGTTTCGTCCATTTGTGGATGAGGTTATCGAAGCCAAGGTGATTGGTTCCTCCCGACAAGGTCTCACTCTTTCCGTTGAATTCTTCGAGGATATCTTTGTTCCGGCGGAGAAACTTCCCGAACCCCACGTTTTCGAAGAGGATGGACAAGTTTGGTATTGGGAATATGCACAAGAAGACGGTGAACCTCCGGCCAAGCTCTACATGGATCCTGGGAAGATTGTGAGGTTCCGAACAACTGAACTTATTTTCAAGTGAGACAAAAATTCTTATTTGAATGAAACATCCATTCTTACAGAGATCTCAAGCCGGAACTGAGCCAAGAGGAACGAAAGACAGAAAAGTCGATGGAAATCAAAGGAACCATGGCGAGTACAGGTTTAGGATGTGTGGGATGGTGGACAGCAGACGACGAAGATGAAGAAGCGGTTGAAGATGAGCAAGACGAGCAAGAAATTAAGACAGAAGCTTCTTAAAAAACATACGAAACGGGTTTCATTGTTATTAAATATTGTTGTTGTTGTTATGTTTCCTCTATATAAAAACTTATCTTTCTGATTTTCATCTATTTTGGACATTAGTGTTCTAGACACATACTATTTTCTACTCTACCGTTGCTTTTTCGAAATATCAAGTTTCAGGCAAAAATGAGCGAGAAAAGTAGAAACCTCATGCTGAAAAATGCACCGACGACCAGTAACCAGCAACACCATTCGAATAGCGTTCCGCTTAACGTCTTCCGTGGAACCAGTCTCATCTCGCAACTCGAAGCACAGAGATATCCCACGTCATTCACCGCATGTGCTTCAGATTTTGACAATGTCATCGTCCCTACATGTCCAAATATTACAATTCCAGTACAACCGGAGAAAAGCTCTGATGGATAATAATTTATTTTCCATCTATTCTCTTTTCTGAAAAATGTACATTTATCTATAAATCGGTCTCATAAGACAGTAACCTGATGAAATTTAACGTCTTCTTTTTTCAAAATTTCGCTTCTGAAGCTTCAGACAAGACTACCATCGACGTCTCTGTACTTTTTTTGTGAATACTAAAACTAAAAGTAGGGCGATAACATGAAAAAACTGTTTATTTGATTTTCTTGATACCTAGTTGGATTTTTTTTTGCTGTGACATCATCTTCTCCGAACAATAATAATAATCGGTTCAATCGGGGGTACGACGAATTCGAACGTTTTCAAATTCGAACGACCTAAAATCGAACTGATTCAATTCAGAACAGTCCTTTTTTCTGCACACGTACCAGAACAGAACGCGGACAGAATCGAACTGTTACAAGTTCGAACTGGTAAGAAGTCGAAC